TGTGTTGCTGATTATTTAATTGTTCATTCTTTCCCTGAAGCAGTCAATGTAGCGGTCAAGGTTAGGGTTTCGTCCACTGTGAGGTATCCAATCTGATGTTTTTTGGGGCTTTTTGGCGTTGATCTTTTCCTGAATGTTGTCAGAGGATGAGTTGTTGTTGGGAGTGGCTTCAGTTTGGTCATGGAAATATTCTTTGAGGCACAGGCGTCGGAAGAATTCTTCTAGTTCTCCACATTGAAGTATTTTATTAGGGTATTTTTCTGGTCAGAAATTTAGGCCTTTAGAAAGGACAGATTTTTCAGTTTTGGTAAGCGTGTGTGGAGAGATTGATAATATTTGTGGGTTTTTGCATCTGAGGCGTTTTAGAAGTTCCTTGTACAGCCATGTTGATCTCTTGCCATTCTTGTGCTTGTCAGGTCAGGACAGTTTTTTCTTGGGCTTCTAATACTGTGCCCCTTAGAAGCTCCCAGCCTTCCTGATGAATGCTGTAGAAAGTTTTTCGTAGTCTCTTTGTATCCATTGTATATTGTCAGGGAACATACATGGATTTCTGTCTTCTAAGTTGTTGTAGTATATGGTGATTTCCTTCCTGAGTTGGTCTCTTTTGGAGTAGAGTAGGTGAAGTAGATGATTTCTAATTTTCTCTGAAGTTCTTCTGCATACCTGTGAAGCATATGTGGAGGATAAAAGGCATCCAGGAGGGTTGGGAGCTTCTAAAAGGCACAGAACTGGAAGCCCAACAGGAAACTATCCCGACATGGAAGCACAAAAAGAATGGCAAGTTACCAGTGTGGCTGCACAAGGATCTTCTAAAATGCTTCAAGTAAAAAAGGAAAGCATGCAGGCAATGGAAGAATGGGCAGGTCACCAAGGAAGCATATCAGGAAATAGCAAGAACTTGCAGAGATGAAATCTGCAAGGTAAAGATAAAGAATGAACTGTACCTGGCAAAGGAATTTAAGGATAACCAGAAGAGGTTCTATAAGTATGTTTGGTCAGAAAAGAAGGATCAAGCAAGATGTGGGTCCCCTTAACAAGCCTGGGTGGACTCCTAACCTAAGATTCAAAGAAGGCATATCTGCTCAACAGCTATTTTGCCTCACTTTCACAAACAATTGCTGTGCAACTTATTATCCTAATAAGGATTATCTGGATAAGGAAGGGGGCAAGATGAGATAATAAAAGAGATGGTCAGAGAGCCTTTGTTGGATCTGAATGAATTCAAGATAGCAGAGCCAGATGAACTTCATCCCATGGTACAGAAAGAGCTGGAGGAGGAGATTTTGGACCCCTTGACCATGATCTTCATGAAGTTGTGGGAGACAGGCTGGGTACCAGAGGAATGGAAAAAGGCCAATGTAGTGGCCCTCTTTAAAAAAGGCAAGGAGGAGGGCCCAGGGAACTACAGACCGGTTAGCCTCGCTTCAATACCTGGGAAGTTTCTGGAGCATATCCTAAGGAAGCCCATTTGCAAGCATCTGGAGGAGTAAAGGCTGATCACAAGCAGCCAGCAGGGATTTATGAAAAACAAACAAACAGTGTCAAACAAACCTGATCTTCTTTGACAAAGTAAATATTTGGGTGGCTGAAGGGAATGCTATGGGTAAAGTGCATCTGGACTTTAGCAAGGCTTTTGACAGATCCTTCCATGATCTTCTCATAAACTAATTGGAGAAATGTGGGCTGGATAAAACTACTGTAAGGTAGATAGATAACTGGTTCAATAGCTGCAAACAGGGTAGTTATTAACAGGTTCATATTGGAATGGCAGGAGGCTTCAAGTGGTGTCCCAGAGGGGTCTGTCCTGGGCCCTGTGCTGTTCAACATGTTCATTAACGATTTGGATGCTGGCATAGAAAGCTTCTTGAGCAAATATGCAAACAACATGAAACTAGGAAGGGTTGCTAACACATTAGAGTATGCAAACACAATTCAGAAGGATCTTGACAGATTGGAAAGGTGAGCTACAGCTAACAGGACACAGTTCAGTGCAGACAAATGCAAGTTGCTACATGTTGGGAGGAGTAGTCAAAAAAACACAAATATAAAGTGGGTTACACCTGGTTGGATGGCAGCACTGAAAAGGACTTGGGAGTTTTGGTATATCACAAACTCAATACAAGTCTGCACTGTGATGCAACTGCACAAAAGGCGAATGCGGTTTCGGGATGCATCGATAGAAGCATTCGGTGCAAGACAGGAGGTGATAGTACCTCTCTACTCCACACTGGTTAGGTCTCTTCTGATGTACTGTGTGCAGTTCTGGGCTTCACATTTAAAAAATTATGTGGACAAGTCCGAGAGGGTCCAGACGCATGCAGCAAAGATGATAAAGGCCTTGGAAAGCATATCATGTAAGGAAAGGCTGAAGGAGCTAGGCATGTTCAACTTGCAGAAAAGGCACTTAAGAGGGGACATGATAACAGTCTTTAAATACTTGAAGGGCTGCCATAAAGAAGAAAGGAGGCACCTCTTCTCTCTTGCTGCAGAGAGGAGGAGATGGACCAGTGGCTTGAAGCTGCAGCAAAGTAAGTTTAGATCCAGAATAACTTCTGCACTGTGAGAATATTGAGGCAGTGGAATAGACTGCCTAGGGAAGTTGTGGACTCTTCATCACTGGAGGTGTTCAAGAAGAGGGTGTGTGGGTGGGTGCGTGTGAGTGTGGCTATGCATACATTCTACTCTGGGCATTTCCCATGTTTCTGGGCTTTGCTGGTTGCCCCCACCCCACTCTTTTGCTACACGTCATGGTGCTTTTAAGCCTCCCTCAGAGACATTGGATGTTGGCTACAACCGAGGCTGGGGACTTTGACTGGGGCATGCCAGTTCTTCTGCTGGAACCAAAGCCATAGGCTCCTGGCTAGAAGGTCTTACCCCTCTGCTCAGGGTCAGACCAGTTGCCATATTTGGGGTCAGGAAGGAATTTTACCCCATGGTCAAATTGTTATGGAATGCAGGGTTTTTTTTCCTTTCTTTGTAGCAGAAGGTGTGCCCCGCTTCCCGGGATCTCTTGAGCATATATTGACAACATTTCATAGAAGCAGAACACTGGCTGCCATGGTTCCCCTGGTTTACCTGTGGCAGGTTAGGGTGTTGGGCCTCTGTTGCACCAGGTTTGACTCTAGTCTTATGTAGAGTTTAGAGTATGGAATAGTATAGGATCGTTTGGATAGGATGGTCCTATGTCAAGCAGGGGGTTGGAATAGACCTCTGGAGGTCCCTTCCAGCCCTACTTCTCTGATTCTATGATATAATGAGTATCTGTTAATGTGCAAAAATAATTTTCCCTGATAATTATAAAATATCAGTTTGCTTCACCTGCTAATGAAAAATGTCCCATGGTAGCTTTTACAAGAGACTACCTCTGACCATAAAATTGTATTAGACTGCCAATGCTTTTTCCGTGGCCTGAAACTAAAAACATCCCTAACACTTTTCATTCCTGTACATTAAATTTTGCAAGGTCACTCCTTTAAAAAAGCTAAAGCTATGAAGAGGAGGAAATTAGCTTTCAGTCTGTTTTTTTGTTCTCTGCAATCACATCATGCTTCTCACAGTATTTAAGTAGGTCTTCTAAAGTGGGTTTTTTGTTTGTTTTTTTTTTTGTTTAGTTGGGGTTTGTATTTTTTTGAGAGAGAAAATCTTGTGTTACGGAAGAATGTGCCAGAATTCAAGTTTTTGTTCCCCGTCTTTATAGGAAATAATGCTCAAACAAAATATCTTTTGGAAGTTTTTTATTTTCCTCCCCACACTGCTGACATCAATGTGGTTGTATCTTAAACTGTAGTTACCCTCTAACTATCATGATCTCTGTATAAATCTGGTGAGCACATATGTTCAGTGAGACATGTCAGGAAAACTTTAGTTTTCATGCATTCAGTTTATATTCCCCATCTCAGTATGGGAGAGAATCTGATCTCATTACTTGCCATTTTGTTTTCTGTTGTGTTTTTTTTAACATATAGCATAATTACTGGACTAAGACTAGATTTAAGTTTTTGCAGACTTTTTTCTGGTCTACCTTCAAGGTAAAATCCTAGTCTTCCTCCTTTAGGTTCCATTCCCAGATCATTACTTATAACAAATACTAATATTTAAATGGAAAATCATAACCCAATTTTGTTTATTTATTTTTAAACAGGACAGCTGGGAAATTATAGAAGGATTGCGGGGAGTTGTGAATTGCACCCTGGAGCCACAGAAACAGGAAGGCTACTTGTTGAAAAAGAGAAAATGGCCCCTAAAAGGCTGGCACAAGGTAGGGAAAAAAAATCTCTTTTAAGGCTTTTGGTTATTTAAATGTGTTGCCCATTGTTAAAAAAAAAAAAAAAACAACAACAACAACAAAAAAACCCCAAAACTTTAACATGTAAATAATATCTATACTTCTGCTCATTTGTTAAGGCTTATCTTTGCATTTTCCTGATTACAGAGATACTTCTTTTTGGCTGGAGGAATTTTGAAATATTCCAAGTGTCAAACTGATGTAAGTATCCTCACTCTAAAGTGTGTTTTTTATAGTTTAAATGAGTTGAAATACCAGGACTTGTGTACTGTTGGGGAAAAGAAGGGTAAGTCCAGAATTTCCAAATTCCAGGCTGAGGATAAAGGAATGGACCCCCCTCCTTTCCTATTAATAATCTGTTTTCTTAAGCTACCACAGAACATGAATACTAATTATCCGTATAAAATGTTTATTGCAGATAGAGAGGGGGAAGCTTCATGGCTGCATTGATGTTGGACTCTCAGTGATGTCTGTAAAGAAATCCACAAAATGCATAGATTTGGATACAGAAGAGCATATATACCATCTGAAGGTAACTCTATAAGGCAGCAGTCAGCAACCGTTTTCTGGCAGCAGGATGGAAAATCCAGGCTTGAGTCTGAGACAGACTGGCACTAAGACCCAGCCACTGCCACTGCTTCTCCTTGTGATGTGGCACAGGAAAGCTGGTCAGAACAGTGTGGACAAAACCTTGACTGCCAAATGCAGCTGAAGTACCAGTTCTGCATGCTAGGTCCGATGGCTCCATAAGCTGAATTTAGCTCACAGGCCGCTGGTTACCAACCCCTGAAAATAAGGCAATAGTGTTCCAATTAAGATGTAAAACTTAAAGCCGTGAAATGGACGTAACTTTGTGTATACGTGTATTTGTGTGGCCATTATAATAGGGTTGAAAATGGTGGTTAATTTAGGTCTTAATAAATGTCTTAAGAAATTCCATAAACATGCCTTCACATGGCCAAACTTTACAGTTTTCTGCAAAGCAAAATGTCTCATTTACTGGGAGATAAGTGGCCTCATTTGTACTATTCCATTTAGTTTATGGCAGGGATAACTCCTACAAAGGCTTTCTCAAAATGGAAGCTTGAGAGACACGAGGACTGACTCATGGTTGATAGTCTTTTTAAAGTATTTAAAAAAACAAAAACCATTTTTGAGAGATGATTGTGTGAAAGGAGGAGATGGAACAGAGTAGTTAAATGGTATGGCAGTGCCCTCAAGTAAATATCATTATATCAGAGTTTGAACTCTGTTACAGGATTCATCTTATTAATGCATGTTATTAATAGGATAGCTTGATAGCTTTCTAATTATGCATTCACCTTTATCTGTGAAGAATATCTTGCATTTTTACATTGATGAAATTTAACATTTTATCTAATAGTATAAATTAATTTCAGATGCATAATATTTTGATATGGCTTTTTAAAAATAAACACTAACCTGTACTTATTTAAGATTGAAAGTCTTGGTTACTCCTTAAAAATAAAGTAGTTTTCATGTGAAACTAATAACTCGCTCTATTTTTCCTGTACAGTTTCCATGCAGAGTTAATGCTGCTATGCCTCTCTGGATTGAAGTTGAGTGTATTTTAAGAAACAGGTTTACAAGGCTTATGTAAATGTACAATATTAGGTATAAATTTAGGAACGTATACTTTTCAGTACCTTAGCAAGTGCTGAAGTGTTACTCTATAGAAGGATAGACATAAGTATTTAAGTGGTTTCCTGAGGCTGTGCCTTTTTGTCTTGAATTTACTGTATGAATTATTGCATCATATTCAGGCTAGTGAAACATACTGCTTAATAGAAATATTTCTGAGAGAGCTTTTATTATCTGCCAAGAATTGGGAACACAGCATGACCATGTTGTAACAAAAAGTTAGGTTTGACTAGTAGTTTTAACTTGAATATGGCTTCGTATTTAATTAAATATTGTATTCTGTAGGTGAAATCTCAGGAAGTATTTGATGAATGGGTAGCAAAACTTCGTCACCACAGAATGTATCGTCAAAATGAAATCTCCATGTTTCCACTTGATGTCAATAATCATTTTTTCCCAGCATCTACCACAGACTCTGTCCCTAGTGCATTTGACTCTACTTCAAGTAGAAAGGTAATAATTATAATTTAGATGATGTTTTTTATTAGGAATTAATTTAGTTTAATTTCTCTATTAGTATGCAAAGACTTTTAACCACAAATTTAATTAGGAGAAGATTTACTTTAAAATGTAAATTGTGAAATTGTCTAGTTTTATAGGTTATGCTTCTCAGGTGATTTCCATTAAAATACTCTTAAATGATCAACAGTCTCAAAGTTACTGTATTTACTTGGGGGGGAATCAACATAGTGGGGAAGCACCTTATCTTATATTTGCAAACAAGGAAACCTCATTAAATACATTGTCTATCACTAAACTGCTGCCAAAAGGAAGTTGATTAAATGCAGCCAACTCTGAATACAACTATGAAACATTCGGCCCATATTGGGCAAATGTATTGATGGAAACATTTTTGTGTACAGGTTTGTGTGCGTGGCCCTTAACAATTAGTGGGTGTTCCCTCCACAGGGAACTGGCACCACACCTGGAGGTACTGAAATACCAGGCCAGCACCGGGAGGGCCAAAACCAGCCCTGACATCCTCTTGGTGCCAGAAAGTTTGAATTTTATTAGTAGATGTTAAGAATCATGAACCAAAGAGATGATAAAACCATAAGGGAAATATAGAGCGCCCGAGTGAGGGACTAACATAACAGGGATGGGAGTGAGGACGGGAATGTATCTAAGTTACAGAAAATATAATGTTAACATTGATCTTGGCCAAAAAAGCTGAGATGCTGATGGGAGCCTTTTTTTGTGTAGCCCTTAAGGAAAAAAACAAAAACCACAAGCAGTCCTTCCCCCAGGAGGGAACGAGCACTGTGCCTGGAGGCACTGCAATACAAGGCTGGCAGCCGGAGAGGCTGGAGCAAGCCCCAACATCTTCCCTGGGTGCCAAAAATGCGGATGAGAGTGCCTGCTGCACCCTCTCCCAGCCTGTCGCACATAATAGTGTGGCCCTGCCCTCCATGAGGTGGAGCCGGAAGGTTGCCCAGAGCCTCATCTTCATATAAATTTTTGGAGGATCCCAGGACGCATGACAAGAACGCTGAGCTAATTAGTGAATGGATCATTGGGCGGGGGGGGGTATACCTGGAGTATACACACGTACTGAGTATTGCTGAGCTGAGGGGTCCCATGGCTTGAAATGCTGTTGTCTCTGGTGGGCCTGACCCAATGAACTATATGGTAAATCATTAGCCTTTTGGCTTTGGACTAATATCATGGGTTTTTGTACTATCTAATATCTACATATATAGTTTGTACTGTATGTAAGTAGGTATAGAAGTGCTGCTTAAAAATGTATTGAGGGAGTACCTGTGTTTAAAACCTGCACCAAAAAGGTGCAATGCATCAATTCTGGGTGAACAATGGATGAGGTCTAAGGGTACCTGTAGTAACTTGTCTGTATGCAATAGTAATATGTATATAGGCAAAGGGCTGCAGGTATGTTTATTTCAAGGTCAGTGTTTTCAGATTTGCCCCTCACTTCCATGTGCTCAGGGAGAGCAGGCTGTGACAGTAAGGAAGGGAGAAGGAGCTGTAGGAGGAAGAAGTTGTGGGGCAGAGGACAAGGGGCCCACCCCAGATTTATTTTCCCTGTTGTAGCAGTGGGAGGGAGACAAATTCAAGGGAACCCCCCAATAATGAGATTCTATACCTGGAAAATTGTAATATTTTCCCTATATAGAATCTAATTATTGGGGGGGTCATCTTATAGTTGGGTAAATATGGTATAATATTGACTTGTATAAACATTATGAAAATAAAATTTTACTTTGCTTGCTGTAAGCAGTTACTCTATTCCAATCTCTATTAACAAATGGAATACATACTGGAAGCCTTTGTGCATGAGTTTTGTTCTCAGAACAGCATTCTATTGGCTTTAAACCAAAATTCAGCTTCTCCTTTTATACTGGTTTTTAAAAAAAACAACCTGTTCTATAATATTAAAACATTAAGATGTTTATTAAATTGGTCTAGGAACTACAAACTGTTAGCAACCAGCTATTATAGCGGCAAGGGCTGTTTTCCTTAAAAGCATGCAGGAACAATGATAATGCTATAAAGCATAATTGCCAGTTGACGTGGGAGTGTCTCCTCTTGTGTGTTATCCCTGTGGCTTCTGCTCTTGGTGCTATGGATTCCACAAGTCCGGATTCATTTGACCAGCAGTGTCCCTGGCTACATTCTGGGCTGTTTTCTTGTCCCCCAACCCTGACTCAAGAGCATAAAGAACAGAGTCAGTCTAACTGTCCCTCAGATCCTCCATGCTACCTGTGGTAGCAAAAAGAGAACCCCTGCAGCATCCCTCTGCTTCTCAGCACACTGCTAGTGTTCTCTTGCTAACGAGTTAATTCTAATAGTTACAAAATACTTCCATTAACTTTGAATTCAGACATTTTCCCTCTGTACAGAGTGCTAGTAACAATGTAGAAGTTAAGGATCTGGGATTCAAAACTGGTCCCTCATGTGAAGCTTTGGTGCCTGTTAAGGATGGCTGATCCAGGTACCTAGGAGAAGGCCTGATCTCTGAGTATCACTCCTCTTCAAAGAGTCTTTCACAAGCTACAGAAGTCTGTCTGAAGTCATTCCTCCTTTAGAGTGCTATAAAAACATCCTCAGCTGCTGCAGGAAAGATCAGCTGGAACACAGTCATCTCCTCAGTCCCCTCCCATTAGTACCCTGGCAAGCAGACATGCCACCCCAAATTCCTGGATTACAAGTACTATGACATCCAGTTGTCCACCTCTGATGGAGACTTCATTGACCTCTGACTGGCAGAAAAGGGGCATTGTTCCAGGGAGGAGATAATCTCAGGTCACCTTCTCTAATGCCTACCAAGCCAAGGAACAGTAGTCCTTAAGCTTTTAACTTCCTAAGGGTCAAGAGACGGACAAGATGTTTTTTAGTATCCTGGTACCCATTCCTGAGGCATCTTCAGCAGTACTACTAAATGAATGGACTGTATGTCACTTGGCATCTATCTCAACAGTGGGTCCTTTGGTACTTGGAGCTTTGGCTGGTCCAGAATATTTCGGGACATTATACTGCATGCCACTGTGACCACCTCCAACTTGCACACCAAAACCAGAAATGCAACAGTGAAGCCATTCCTGGGGGGGGGGTGTGCCCTTACCTTCCTCTGCAGCCACATGCTGAAAGCAGAGGACTCAAGTGTCCTCACAGTGGGATACCCTCTGAAGTAGCTTCACTCCTTCTCTTCTATGTTGGTACCTGCAAGCAGAAGTGGATGGGCTTACTAAAGAACATCCATCACCAGGCACTCTGGGGACAAATAGCATAAATGTATCTTTAATATCAGGGGTGTAGGCTGTAGCTGTGTTGGTCTTGGGGCATAGGCAGACAAGGTTCTTTGGGTGAATATGATATCTTTTATTAGACCAACTTAAATAGTTGGGGGGGGAAAAAAATTATAGCAAGCTTTTGGGTTTAAAAACCCTTCATCCTTAATATCAAGAACCCTGTTACTGCCTTCCCAGCTATTTCAGAGCAGTGTTCCTTAATACTTGATATCAAGGTAGCAAAATTTTAATTCTAGGATGATCAAAACCATTCCATTCCTTAACTTTTTTTTTATTTAGAGAAATTCTGCATTCACTGGGCCTCTCTGCTCTAGCCCCAAAAACAAAGCAAAAAGCCAGAAATCTTCTTTCACACAATACTTCTCTGACTAGTACTAGTGTTTGGGGGCTGGTGCCTCTGAGCTGCAAGAAAAAAAACAAAAGTAGCTCCTCTAAAGAGGGTTCCCTAACTCTTTAAGCTGCCTCAATCTGGAGCTTGTACTGGGCAGCAGATCTGACATCATTCACAAGAGCCCAGCAGAATTACCTGAGATCTTTTCCCTTTTTTTAATCCTTTCACATGCTCAGGCAACCACTGCTTATATTTTGAAGTCCTGGACTGGGATTACCTCAAGCCGTCTTGGATATTATGTAAAGAATACTTTAGTCTGTTCCAAACCACTGCTGTCTTACCCTAAAGGTCCTTAATGTCAACAGAAGTTCAGGCTCAAAGCATAAAGGGCATAAGGAGCAGCATTAAATTCCAGGTCAGTGGATGCTTACTGTTATCTGGAATATTTCCTGGAGACCATAAACTTTAGCAACCAGTTCAAACCTACCCAAGGACATCACTAAGAACCTAGAGGTGATGCAGCCTAAATGCAGCCATGCCACCAACTCTGCACGTACAGTCTCTGGAACACCTTGGAACAAATTGGATCCGCAGACAGATCTCATAAATTCATGCATAGCCTGTCAAACATTTAGTCCAAGAAAACCATTTTTCCATGTGGTGATTCTCAGATGCAGCGGTTTGCCAGATCCCAGCAAGTATCTAATTTGTTCCAGAGGACCTGCCCCCTCAGACTTCCTGAGACCCAATGCATGCTCTTCACTGACCCTCATGATCCTGAGGGTTCTGGGATGACCTGTAGGACAGATGATTGAGTCATAGCACTGGAACAGACTGAGCAGTGCCAGTGTTAAGATCTGATTAATTTTCAATACAACCAGAAGACTTCTTGCTTGACATCATTTTGCAGAATAAACTACTGCATCCTGATCCTGAATGCTGATTAGCTAACATCTGCTGAAATAAGCTATTTAACTGAAGCTTGAAACAGAAAAGCCTCAGCTAGACTGACTCTCAAAGTTAAATGGAGGGGACTTTAATTATCTTGGCATCAGCTGTTTCCCTTGAACATTCATTTTATCAATATTGGATGATCAGCTGATCCTGAAAATATCTTTTAATTTTCTGTCCTTTTCATCAGAATACATCTAAGAGCAATATCTTCTTATCTGGTAGCATATTGTATGTTTCTGTTTTTTGGGTTTCCCCCTTTCCTTTTCTTCTTGTTTTCCCCTCCAGTTTGGAACTTCCCTTGCTAGAATCTCCTTATAGTATTAGCAAGCCTGAGTCCCCCTTCTGATCCCTTTGCAATGTATGCCCTGAATTACTTATGTATATGATCATTCATCAGCTCAGAGTAGGAGAGATTTGGGCCCTTTTCTCAGGCTCCCCATACCATGTTTCATAAGAACATGGTCTCTCTGGGTATATTTGTACAGCACCAAGAAGATCAATGCTGAGACATGCTACCTCTGCTTTGCAGATATTAACTTCTAGTTATAGCAGCATTTCTTTGTGATTGGCATGCATATGGTGTCACACTGAGCTTTGCTGAGGTGGGGAGCCTGAAGATGCAGATGTAGAGGTGCGGTCCCAGTGGACATTGCTGCCTAAAGGAGTCTGATTTCATACATATGTGCTCCAAGAGCTGAAGCACAAAAACTTGCAGTCACTAAGCTAAGTAACTATTCTTTGTTTTAATATAGGATATTAAACAAGTAGGCTTATGAAATATAGATTTGCACTACAAAGAGGCTGAACTTCCCCCATATTTTCACATGAAAGTGTCAGTCCCTAAGCTACTGTTAATTGCTACAGCTCGACAGCAGATGTATCCCAGCTTCATTCACCTGAGGATCTGGCCTTCTGTCTCTTCACTTACAAATCAGACAAGTGAGCATTGCACTATATCTGCTTTAGGACTCAGTAGCTCTGTTTTCATATATGTGTTGTTTTTTTTTTCTTTTCATATATGTATGTATCTTGACTGTATTGTGTGAGGGCTAACATGCTCTTTGCTAGTTGCAGTGTCTTGGTAGGCAGAACTCCTAGAAACATTTTCTTAAGGCCTCCCCCAAACTTGCATAAGGCCATGCACTTTGGGGGGGGGGAGGGATTTTTTTCCCCGCCACTTACATATAAAGTTTTAGAATAGAGGTAGGATGCATTATGAATGGTCTTTAAGAAGCCAACATGGAATGTGTTTACAAAGGTGATTATACATCTTTACATACTCAATCTGTTTACATTGCAAAAGGTACGGAAATTTGTTGTTTGAATTTTTGTTGTTTGAAAATGGCTAAGCAACTGGCTACGGAGTCGGACCCAAAGAGTACTAGTTGAAGGGAGCAAATCAATGTGGCACAGGGTTTCCAGTGGAGTCCCTCAGGTCTTGGTACTCGGTCCAGTACTCTTTTTTAACATTTTCATCAATGATCTAAATTTGAGAGTCAGATGTGGACGATACCAAATTATGGGGGAGGGCCATCACACTGCAGGACAGGCTGAGAGTACAGGCTGACTTGGACACACTCTCAAGATGGGCTGACCAAAACCAGATGGCCTCCAATGCAGAGAAATGCAAGGTGCTGCACCTTGGTAGAAAGAACCCTCAGCATACTTACAGGCTCGGCAGTGCTACGCTTGCTAGCACCACGACCGAAAGGGACTTGGGGGTCTTGATTGGCCACAAGATGAATATGAGCTACCAATGTGATGCAGTGGTGGGCAAAGCTAACCAAACTCTGGCGTGCATCCACTGATGCATGTCAAGCAAAACCAGGGAAGTCATCCTCCCACTTTACTCAGCCCTGGTGAGACTGTAGTTGGAGTACAACATCCAGTTTTGGGCCCCCCACTTCAGGAAGGATGTGGAGAAGCTTGAGAGAGTCCAGAGGAGAGACACTCGTATGATCCAAGGCCTGGAGGGAAGGCTGTACGAGGCGAGGCTGAGGGACTTGGGACTCTTCAGTCTGGAAAAGAGAAGGCTCAGAGGGGACTTGGTGGCAGCCTACAACTTCATAAGAGGAGTTCATCAGGGTCTGGGAGAATATCTGTTCACCAGAGCTCCCCAAGGGGATAACAAGGTCTAACAGCCATAAACTCGAGAAAGTCCACTTTAGACTGGATATAAGAAAAAAGCTCTTTACAGTGCATGTGTCCAGAGTCTAAAACAAACTCCCCCCAGAGGTGGTGCAAGCACCTACTCTGGACTCCTTCAAAAAACTGCTAAATTTTTCTTGCTGGGGTCACTTGATCCCAGCTGACTTCCCGCCCATGGCAGGGGGCTGGATCTGATGATCTCATGAGGTCCCTTCCAGCCCCTAGTGTCTCTGAAATCTATGAAAATTGTTTGAACTAGAAAGCAAACTGCAGGCTCTTTTATACTACAGCAGTGAAATAGAGGAACAGTTAGTAAACAAACTATACAAATTTTCTAGTGATAAAATCTCTATTAAATAATTGATACTTGCTGTAGTATAATACCAAGTTGTATTATTGTATGATAACAAATTAGGAGTAAAAGTCTGCTTGATCTTGGCAGACATTCAACTGGAGTGGACAAGGCACATCAGTTTCTGTAGACAGTGACACAAAAGTGATATGGTCAAAATAATTTGTGGCTGCCTTTGACTGACTGGCTGATCTGAATGACCAGATACCCACTTCAAATGAGGCAGCCTCTAGCACAAGGCTGAAATGAGGTTTTGTTTTTTGTTTTTTTTTTACCTGCGCCTCTGGAATTTTAGTAAGGTATCTTAACTGCTCTACTACTATACCCTAAAAATATACAATACAGGCGACCCTCGCCATTCGTGGGGAATACGTTCTTGTATCCCCCACGAATGGCGAAATCCATGAATAAGACACTCCGTTCATGAACGCAGTGCCCCCAGCAGGGGGGGGTACGGCTCCGGTGGTGGTGGTGGGAGCACAGCGGCAGCAAGTGTGGAGCTCCCGAGGAGCTCTTGGAAGCGTATAAAGTGTGTTTAAAATGCGGGTTTGGCATTCGCAAATATTTGAAACCGCGAATGCCGAACCCGCGAATAATGAGGGTTTCCTGTATATTTATGTATAAAAGTATATAAATCAGTGGATACTACGTTCGCATTTTATCCTATCCTTCATCTCAAAGCTTTCATCATATGTAAGAAAAGACTAAATAAAAAATAAAATTATTATCGAGGCATAGAAGAGAATGCAAAAAATGGCAGAGCGAGAGAGATACCTGATTGGAAGTGGCTGTAGCGCATATTTAACCTTTCTTCCAATACCCAAATAAATGAGACATATGATGACATATCAAATGAAATGTTTTTAAAACTGATTAAAAAGAAATCCTTTATGAAATATCCTGTTGAATTTGCTGATACAAGGTACTATTGTGGGATAAAAAGTTTACTAAAATCCCCCCAAATCATTAAGTACTTGCATGAATAAGTATATCACCCGTATTTATTCTAGCTAAGATAATAGCATTATAAACCACTTACAATCCATCAGTGTTGGATACCAATTATTCAGTTGTGGGCTTCTCTATTGGAAACCATTTCCTGAGTTATCTCCTCCTAGTGGCCTTTGCTGAAAACAGGTGATACAGTTAATTCTTTGCAATTTATACCAAGGACAATCGTACAAGAGCCTTATTAATGGAATATAAGCATTAGTTGGTTCTCCAAATAACTAACCCCTCCCCCTGTTAAAAAGTTTCTAACCAGTGTTTGCATATTGCACTTAAATTGTATACCTCCTCTCCTTGTTTTTTTTACCACTTTGGATGAGAAGGGGAACATCAAAGGCTAATATTTTGCTAGGTGAATTTTTTAATTTTCCGTAACCAGTCTGCAGAATTATGTATTGTTTTAAATCCAGTGATTTCTTCAGTGTTTGCTTTACTATTGGTGGTGGTCAGTAGTTAGCTCCACTTTCCACATCTTGATTATAGAACTGTCTAATCAGACTTGCTAAATAATGGTATGCCTGTCTCTTCCTCTTAGCTGGTACTCTTAGCTTTTGAATCTGGATTTTGGCATCTGAAAGTTATCACACAAAATATTATACAGTAAAAGCTCTGTTATCTGGTATCCCCCGGGAATGGGTGATGCTGGATAACAAAATATGCCAGTTAATAGAGCGGCATATTTTCTTTTCCTGCCACATCTGGGGCATCACCACCCCTCCCACAGGCCCTGTGGGCCCTGCGGGACAGGGAGGCAGGACCTGCACAACCTGTTATATCCCTAGGCCGTGGAGGCTTGGCAGCACAGGCTGCTTTGCCCTGGGCAATGGGAGCTCGGTGAAACCGAAAGTGCCATGGTGGGCATTTCCAGTTTTATTTTACCTTACAAGTCAGCATGCCAGTTAACAAAGTGTGCCGGTTAATGGAACTTTTACTGTATGTTAATAATTCATTCATGTTTCTTTGGAACAGGCAGGGAGCATAACAAAACAGAATTCAGTGCAAACTGGAAGCAGCTTATCATTTTCCTGTACAAGTAGCGAGTCCAGGATACCTTCTTGGCTACAGTCTTCTGAGGATATGGAAAAATGCTCAAGAGGTAATGTTATCAACAGGAACATTGAAAGGTTTTTCAGCTTTCCCAACTGTTACTGAAATTAACTGTGTAATGGCCTGTGTAATATATATATATATATATTTCTGCAGTTGGTTAAAGTGTTTTGTTTTGTTTTTTAATTGAATTATTTCCATATTTCTCAAAGGAAGAGTGATATTTTTTTTTTCCCCCTGCCCGCCCCCCCCCCCCCCCCCCCCCATAATAGTTTTAGGAATCTACCTATGACTTTGTCAGGCTTTAAGATGTTTCAGGTTGGGTACTCAAAATTGAAGCATCTAAAATCACTAATCATTTTAGAAAATTTAGGTCTTAATACATAGCAATGGTATTGCTCATATTTTATTGTTTTACAATGTGAGGTTCTTTTGAAATAGTTTCCCTATAGAATGGGTACAGCACAGATAGCAATTGCAGAAGTTTACTCCTTTGATGTATTTTGATCTTGATTTAGGATTAGGAGTGACTGAATAATAGATTTTAGAGCTTGTAACATCGTCTTCTCTAATAAGACGGTAGACTGGTTCGGAATGTTCCTAATATTTGTGCTGCTGACACCTGTCTGCTACAAACTAGACAGAAAATCAGAAATCCTGTGTTACACAGAATAGTTGTCAGTGGATGATTACTTTTTATGGGTGCTGTATGTGAGTCTAGAAGTAGAAAGCTATGCAAGTTGTCTAATCACTTCCTTTAAGTGAGTGATGCTGAATATAAGTGTTCACTAAAATATGACTTCAACTGCACACAATTATTTCGTGTCTTCATTTCTTGGGAGCAACTGAAAATGTTTTTGTTCCAAACAGACCTCTCCCATTGTCACACACATTTACTGGAAATGAACCAGCTGTTGCAGAGCATGGAAGTTCTCCACAGAACCTATTCAGCACCTGCTATAAATGTTATACAGGTCAGCTGTGAAAAATTATATCTGTAGAGGTGTCAATACATTTATTCTTGTCGTTAGTTTTATAACCCTCTAATATGGTTCTCATTCCTGGTGGTTTTTAAAGGGTGGATCTTTTGAAAGTCCAAAAAAGGAAAAAAGGACACACAGAAGATGGCGGTCCAGAGCTATTAATAAAGATGCTAAGGGAATGTTACAGGTAATTGAAATCTTCCGTCTTCCCTTGCACTAGTCCACTCTTCTCAAGTGTTAACTTATTGAGCCTTCCTTGGGCTAGAATTTGAATCCTACTTAGTCAAGTTATAGATAAAATTAGGTACCAGACCATATAATTTATAATAAAAATAGATCCAAATATTGGCTTCTTCCTCAAGTTCACCCCTATGCAAATTCTACAGTAATGGTTAAGTTTCTGGAGCCATTGGATAGACAGACATATTGCTGGGTATCTATATAATCTGAAGCAGGGCTGTTCATCCCACATGGACTCCCTTGGGACCCCTCTAGTCCCCACTATTCCCACCTAAGGTAGAGACAGGAAACACACCCCAGAGGGAGGGGGGGCAGGAATCCTGAAAACCCTAGCAGCAGCAGGAGTCATGGAAGGAACAGGAGCTGGGTGTTTACCCCTAGTTGGGCAGCCCTGATCTAATGTACAATAGAGGGTATAGAACAGTGGTTCTCAAACTTTTCTTTTCACGGACCACTTGAAAATTGCTGAGGGTCTCGGTGGACTACTTAATAAACTTTTTTTTTTTTGTTCTACAGATCAAAGCACACAACTTATGTTTTAATATCCGTAGTCTTACCTTACAAGTACAGATATTCTTGATTGTTCCGCAACCTTTCTGTGGACCACCTAAATGGAACTCGCAGACCAGTGGTGATCTGCGGACCACAGTTTGAGAACTGCTGGTATAGAGAAGTGTACACTTGGCTTCAAAAGAGGAGGGAAAGCTGCTACTGAGGCTGTTGTACTGCATCTTTTATACCTGCATGAGCCTGTAGCAAAACTGCTCCAAATTTAACATTGCTTCACTGAGGTCAAAGTTAGGGCGGTTGTTTTGGTTTGGTTTTGTTTTTGGTTTTTTTACACTCCTCTTCTTGCACCCCCCCCCCCCCCCCCCCCCCACCCTCCC